TGTGAGAAAAATGTTCACCTTAAATAAGAAACCAAATTGTTTGGAGATAGATGTGACAACGTATACTTTTATTGGCATCAACACACTGCAGTGATCACTGGGGTCCTAAAGAACTGCAGAAGAGCCCTGAGCAAAGCAAGGCTACAGCTTATAAATGTTTGGTTTGTTACACAATAGAAAGGACGGTAAAACTAATATTGCAAATTACAATATGACCCTTACACCGGAGTGCTTTTGATAAATTTACTGGAATGACTCTCTGTTACTTTTCAAACTAGTAGAGTTCTATCTTTTTATCAGCATGTACAATAAACAACATTGAACATTGTAGTTCAAACAACTGAACTACAAGCTTTTTAATACTTAAGCTAATAGAATATATGATCTATATGGACTTTGAAAAAGCAGGATAGGAAGATTATTGATGTTTTTGAACTTTGGTGTTGGAGAAGACACCATGGACAGCCAAGAAAACAACCCAAAGGATCATCAAACAAATCAACTCAGAGTTCTCACTCAAGGCACAAATGACCAGGCTCAAATTATCATACTTTGGACACATTATGCAAAGACCCATCTCTCTGGAAAAGACTCTAATGCTGGGAAAGGTGGAAGGAAAAAGAAGACGAGGATGACCAGCAAAAGGTGATGGACTCAGTTACAGTGGCGATGGGTGTGCCATTGGGAGACCTGAAAAAACAAGTTAGGGAAAGATTTGCATGGAGAAAATCTACCTATGTAGTTGCTAGGAGTAGAAAGCAGCTTGATGGCACGTAATCAATCAATCAATCAATCAATTTCTAAGGCATGAAAATGAACATATGAATTAGACCTCCACAATGCACAGACTCCCCAATACTGAGAACAACATAATGCAGTTAACAACTATGCATGCAGCTGTCTTTACAGCTCTAAGTAGTGGATTTAGAGTATGATAGCATCATCAAAGATCAAGAACAGGCACCCAGCTGTTGTGAGAGGTTGGGGGGGGGGTAAGAAGAGAAAACCTCAGGGAACCTGATTTCAAATGTTCATCAACAGAGAAGTAATCTTACAGTAATAACTTTTTCTCAACTCATCCACACTGCAGGAAGAGGAAACTAAATATATGCTGTTTTAAAATTCTTGAGAAGGGATAAGATACTGTATGATAAACAGGAATTTTAATATGCAACAATAACAAACTTTATAGAGCCCAAGTCACAAACTGTTTGGACAGAAATGGAAAACATCTTTGTTGCTTGCTTTCTAAGAGGTAGTAAATAAAAGTGTGTGCCTCATTTTCTGTTAATCTCAATCTTAATTCTATTCCAGCTATACCTACCATTCACCATTTACTAGTGTTACTGAATAACCCACATACAACATTCCTCATTTGTGAACATTTGCTGTTCACATGTCCATGAACATGTCCAACTTGGATTGGGTTTCCATGGGAATATTTTCATCATCCATTGTTACTGATTGATTTGGCTTTACCATCTGGATTGAATGGCTGAATGATTTCAGTGATTTGTTTTTTCTGATTAAAAGACTTTTCTATTTTTGCAAAAGAGAGAGACAAATGCTCATGTGTTTGTATGCTTTGAATCTTAACACACTGAAATTATTTTAAAGCGTGCACTATACTTTGTGCCCCTCTATGGCACCTACTTAGATCTAAAGCAGCATTTGATTCTATACCCTGAGAGAAATTCTGGAGAAAATGAGCAGCCTCAATAATTGATTGCTGTCACCTCAAAGCGATTATACAGTTATATACTATACAACACAGAGATAATAGCAGTGGGGACCTAATGGAGCTTATTTTCACCTGTAAAAGGGTCAAGGAAGGATGTATACTTGCCCCCTTGCAGTTCAACCTTTACATTAATGACATGGTTGAGGTTTTTGACAATCCAGACTTTCATCCTCCATCTTTTGCCAGTCGCCCCATAACTATTCCTTTATATGCAGATGATGCAGCCATTCTCTCTATGAAAAGTTTGGCTGCATAAGTATCTTAGCGCATAGGTGCCTTAGCCTATTGCAATAGAGAACACCTCAAAATAAACCACTCAAAAACAAAAGTAAGAAAAAGCTTCAACCCCTCAACTAGATGGTCAGTAAATGAAGAATTATTGAGCAGGTGAAACTTTTCAAATATTTAGAAGATTCAAATATCTATTTCCAATCTTCTATCTGCTGGGGCAATCAACCAAGGAAACTATCTAGAAGGATGCAAAGATCATTTCTAGAAAATTACAAATTTGGCAAGCTGGCACGGGAATAATTTTGTCCCAGTTTCCATTAAATTATTCAAGGCCAAAGATTAGCGTATGTTGCTCTATGGTATTCAATAAGAAGATCTCAATCTTCAACTCTATAAAAGCTAAATTTCTAAAAACAATAGCACACATCTCTCATTCAATCTCAAATGCTGTTATGAAGTTAGAATTGGGCTGCATCTCTTTCGGGGCCTATGCAAGACTATGTTGTATAAGGTCTTGAGCAAAGCAAATCCTTTGGTTCATCTTACCCTGTGTGATAGATTTGTATCCACCCTGTGAAGGCAAATTGATTAAAATCTGATGTATTGTGCTCTGTCAATACTAGCTTTACAGTATTTACTTTTGGCCTCAATAAACCTTTAGCAGAATTTAAGAAGAAGGTCTGGAACTTAGATATTCAGTCAAGTAGGGCCAAAAGTTCCCATCTTTATTACAGTAAAACTGCCCTGTTCTCCTACATTCTCCCTAGCTATTTTTAAAGATCATGCATGCTCTGCATAGGAGGGTTTTTTTATCTAGCCCAAATGGATTCACTATGACAATTGGAATTTAACTGACTTAGCCCTGGACTGTCAATTTTTAAAAATAGCTAATCATTACTATGGGATGCCATTCACTCCATAAGTGATTTGGTCTTCTTATCCAAGAATGCATAAATACCCAAGGGGGGAAAAACAGTGAAAGTAATATCTGCTTATTAACTTTAATGTTTTCCTTATAACTGCATATTTTTCTAGCAGGAAGCAATCTACAACTCCACCATGCCCCCCATTTAGAAACCTACATAAGCATCAAAGCGTAGGGCTCATAAATGTCATATAGCACAAGCACTTTCCAATGTAAGTAACTCACTACTTGAAAAAAGAAGTCTGTACTTTCAAGTCTTTCTTGACTCTTAGCAACCACCTCAAGTCCCTGCAATTTTCCTCACAAGATTTTTGGAAGTACCTTGCAATTTCCTTCTTCCTGGGGCTGACAGAGAGTGACTGGCTGAAAATCACCCAGCTGGCTTTGCGCCTAAGGGCAGGACCAGAAACCCTGGCCGCCATTCAGCCTGTACATAAAAACCTTTTGGATCAATCTGTTCACCTGTTGAATACAATTATAATTTCTGTAATATGAATCCACTGGCTCAGCTAAAAAACTGTAAATCTTCCATCTATGGGGCAACTCTTCAGATATTACACAATACCTATCATATTGCCTTTTTACTATTTGTTTTATTTCTGTTTCTCCTGATACCACTTGATTTCTAGGCCCCTTGTCACCTACTGTTGTCCCTTAGGCACATTCCAGTTTGTAGATAGGCTTCTTAAATTGCAGCACTCAGAACTTGGCTCTGTGAAGTGGTACCATTACTTCTCATACTATACTTGTGTTGATGGGGTATGGAATTACAGTAGCCTTTTTGTTTCTTTTGTTTGTTTAGTCAGTGTTATATTGCATCCTATATTGATAATGATAATGTGAAGCAATGATTTTTAGCCCCAAATGAATAAGGGGATGCCACATTATATGTGGTGAATATATTCCCGTAAGGGCAATGCTTGGACATAGTGCAGCCCCAATGGAGATTGTTGAATTCCCTTGAGGTAGAAAGGAGGTGTTTAACATGCTCTGCCTCTGATTCAAAAGTCTCTGTCGAGCTCTGCCTCTGAGCTCCCATTTGGGAAGGGGCAGCTCCATGTGCCGGAGTGGAGAAGGTGCACATATAATGCCTTGGTGGGGGAGGGGGACAGATGGAGAAGGAAGGTAAGTACTGTATGGGATTCAGGGGTCAACAAACCTATCCTCGGATCAGAGACTGTCTTGCAATCAGCCTGTCCAGTCACAACCTTTGGAGGAATGGGGAGAACATGAGGGGGGCTAAAGAGAGACACTTGGTTATCATAGTGGTTACCACAGAGAATCTTCTTGTGACACTCAGGATTCTACACATGCTAGTAACCCCTCTTGCCAACAACTAAGAATTATTACTTTTCTTCAGGACTTACTCCTCACTCCCTTTGTCATTTCTCCAAAGGAGAGAGCATTGCTACTAATTCTTGATCAGAGATCAACTTCTCCCTAGAATTCCAGTCCCGAAGAACCTAGATGAGAACCTCAAGATTGCACCTAGGAATTTCTTTGGCCCAGTTTCTAAACAGATGAACTAACTCCAGATAAAACTGTTGCTCCTTCATTTGTTTTATTGTACATATGACATGGGCATTGATGAAAGGCTGCTGCTGTTCTAATAATAAAAAAGTATCATCATCATCATCATCTTCATCATCATCATCATCATCATCATCATCATCATCATCATCACCACCACCAATTTATTTGATCAATGATGAGAACAGTAAAAGAGTTGGTCAGCAAAACTTCGTTGCAGTAATATAGCATAATAAAAACCAATTTAAACCTGAATGTAAAATTAGAATGTCATAACATATAGCATAACCCGTATTTTGTTACAGCAGATCTAATTCAGTAGTCGTTTGTGTGCTTTAATAGCTACATTATATGTGATGTAAGGCTTATTGCCTAATAAGAGAAAAGCAAAACAGAGCTTATCTGATCATACGTTCCAACAAGGGAGAGATGAGGGGTTGATACTGTGCAATGTGCTATGTGCTATATTGTATACTAACCTTGATACTATGAGCAGTACAATAAAACATGTTAAGGAAAGAGTTAAAGTAGACAAAGGTATTGCTTAACTGTGTTTGACTGTTCTACTTCTAGGTGCGTTCTTGATTCCATATGTCATTGCACTTGTGTTTGAAGGAATACCAATATTTCATCTTGAACTAGCTATTGGGCAGCTCTTAAGGAAAGGCAGCATTGGAGTCTGGAATCATATTTCACCCTACCTGGGAGGAATTGGTAGGTAAGGACTTGTAAGCACTGCACATTGCTGAAAATGCTTGGGCTTCATGCATGGGAAAGAAGAGATTTTATCATACAAATTCCTTACCATAGCAATCTCAAATGATTGAATGCCAATGGATTTTGAAGTGAAAATGCCCAAAATTAAGAGGGTAATTTCTACATACATTGAGATTTCCTAAATACCCCAAAATATAATGCTTTGCAAATGAAAAGAAAAAGAGCATGTAACCTTCTTACTCATTTATAGAAATGGCAGTTTTATGAAGCCCTGTGGCTTCCAAAGTGATGGAGTTCAGAAGACTGTGAAAACTAATGTCACATTTTTCAGCAAATATAGGAGCCAATACTTAGCTCTCATTCAACATTTGCAGTTCCCTAAATTTTTCAATTCTGCACCCTAACAAAATTAAAATAGTATATTAGGGGAAAAGGGTTACAAAATGAGAATGAGGTCACAAAATGCATATTAGGAAAAATGATTTGCAGAAATTATGAACAAGTTGGACATGAACGAATATATAT